CTTTTGTATATTAATGTACCCCCCCTTTTCCTTTTCCCAAAGTTCCTTTTCCTTTTTTTTCCGTTTTCCCTTTTTTGGTTTTTTTTCCGAATTTTTTTTTCAGGTTGGTTTACCCATTTTGGGGGGGGAATGGGGGGGGGGGGAGAACCCCGGGGGGCCCTTTTCCGTTAGGGGTTATTAAGAAGGTTATTAGTGAGGGGGACCATGAAAGGATTTTGTAAAGTCCTTTTGGGGAATAAGGGGGGGGGGGGGGGGGGGGGGGGGCGTGATGATGCGGCGTCACACCTACGAAATGAACGCGAAACGTAACACGCTTCGTGTGAGATGGAGCCGCCGTGTTGGAACGAGAAAAAATTAACAAGCGTGAGGACGGAAGAGTACAATACGCGACGAGACAAGAAACGCTGTACTGTTATTATAGAAAACTAAGGGACTCCCCAAAAAGACTAGAGAAGTACAATACAACGTAGTGGCCTAGACGGGGGATGGAACCACCGAGGGGCAAAGACGCATATGGCATGTATTCCTGGCGCAACCAAGGCGCCACAAACCTTAGGGTGGTGACCGGCTGACGGACCAAACAAAAACAGAGCGGTGAAACGGATATCTACTGCTGTCAGTAGTAGAACACAATGCCTCCAGATTGAAAACGAACCGCACAGGATAGGAGTAAAAACACTACCGACCGAAGCTTGCGCCCTATCTCCTATCCCCTCCCCCCCTTCTTTTAAACCTACCGCCAACATCAGCACGCCGCTCAACATGACCGCCACCACAACCACCACGACCAACGGTACAGTAACGGTACGGTAACGGTACCACCACATACCTTCCGCCGCCAGCCCGCACATCCTGCCCTACCCCCCCCCTCCCGCCCCCGTCATCGTCATCTCGGTTGTTGCGGTTGTTGTAGCCCCTGTCCCTCTCTCGGTCCGGCTTGAGGGCATCCCAGCGGGACGGGGCACGACCCCCGCCTGCGCCGCCCGGTCCATCTCTAGGCCTGTCGCGCCTTCTGCTCTCGATCATGATGGTATCGGGCGCCAACAGACAGATAGGCGGACATAGTAGCGGACGGACGGGGCGGGGGGGAAGGGACAGGTAGACAGACCGACAGACAGACAGACAGACAGACAGACAGACAGACAGACCAGACAAAGCAAATGGGAGGGGGATGGCGATGGAGGGTCAAAGTTAACAACAATATGCAGAACGTAAACCGCAAAAAACGGAAAGGACAATAACAAGTTGAGGTGCGAACATCCTGGCAAGCCGATCAAAGCCGAATATCCATCGCATTCTCTCACCTACCAAAGAGGCACCCAACCCACTGCCGCAAAATTTACATGCCACTTGCAGTACGACCTGCATTCCGAAGGGCATGCCTATCACGTGTAGGACCCCTACAACAGCAGTGCTAGCGCAACGGAAGCAGAATCGGAAACAATTTGAAAAATGGAAGGCCGTGTGGCTTATACCGTGCACGTCTTCGTACAAACGCGACAGCAAGCGACCCAGCCGGGGCAAGGGGCTCCTGTTTCAGCCAGCCCGCCCAAGACTCCGTTCCAAATTGCACGTACTTCCAAAAATAGAGAGACCAGCGGGACAATTTTCGCAAGGATCTAGCTACGGCGGTGCCGTCCAGTTTCACACCACATTGATCTAGCTACGGCGGTGCCATCCAGGTTCACACCATATTGAAGGATGTCTTTCCATCTACCCAGCAAAGTTGTGCACTGCATAAGTGCCGCAATGAAAACCGCACCATACCGCCCTGCACCCGATGGGCGTGCTCAAACGTAGAACCCCGCGCATCAGGTCTCGCGGTTCAACCAAAAAAACAACAACTCGCGGACACAAACGGGACGTCGGCACTCAGGAGGACGCGCAAGCTTAGCCAGCGCGCGGGGGGGGGTGACTCACCCATCCCGGCGTTCCCTGTCTTGATCGTATCTTCCCAACGGTCCTCCTCGGTCCCGGTCCTTGTTTCTAGTGTACAGTACACCGTTACCGTTCGTGCCGTATTGTTGATGGCGCGTCGAGGATGAAAGATCATGGTGGATTGATATGATCGCGTATCAACGACGGCGCAAGTTGAGAGAGAGCATCGCACGTGACGTCAAAGGGGGATGGATGAGCAAAAACCGGAACTACAATGCCGTTTTGAAGGATTAATGCAGAAATCAAAGTAAAGCGAGACGAGAAAAAAATCCTTGAAACGAGTAAAAAAAAAAGCATCCTCCGTCACCCCCCCTCTCGACAAAAAAACACCAAGCCGGTTTTCTTCCCACTCGATGTAAATGGAACGGCCTCGACCGTGGCATCATGTCGAACGAGTAGTCTTTTTATGATTGTATGCATGCAAGAATAAAAAAAAAAAAAACATGATGAAATGACACACCTGTCTCCAAATCTGTCCCAATCCCTATCGCGGTCCCCCCACCCAGGCTGACCGTCACGCCTCCCGTCCGCGCGCCCGCCGCCGCCCCCACGGTCCCGATCAGGCCGGTCGCCGCCCCCCCTCGGCCCAAGGGAAGGGGACTGGTCCGGGTCAGCCCCCTGCTTGGCGACGAGGGCGGCGATGTGCTCAGAGTGCAGGTCTCTGGCGGAGCCGGGCTTCATCTTCAGGGCGGCGGCCTCTTCCTTCGACGGGATTCGAGTGTTGTTCTCGTCGATGAGGGGACTGAGG